CACCCCACCCCCACCCCCCCCCCCACCCACCCACAAAAAAAATTTTTTTAAAAAAAGAACCTTTTTTTTTGGGGGGGGGGGTGATAGCATCGAGTCTTAAGAGCCAGTGTTTTTAAGTGATGTTGTACTTCCCTTTATTCCCTAATGGTCCATCCTCCATTCCATAGAGTGTCATCTGAGGAAGGTCCAATATCATCTCTTCCCTTATCACTAATAACTGAATTCTGACTTTCTCCTTGGATTCTGTCACTTCACTGACAGAACTACATCCCCCAGCCTCCTTTGCAAGAGGATTAAATTAGACTAGATTCTGGCCCATTGGAGGTAGTATTCTTAAGAATAAAGATCTGTAGGGGTGGAGGGAAGGGTCAGTGGGTAAGAGCGCTTACTCCTCTTGTATATTACAGGGGTTCAATTCCCAGAGCTCATTAGCTCGTAACTGCTTGTTACTGCAGATCTAGGGAATCTGATGCCCTCTGACGACCTTCCTGGACTCCTGCATATGTGCACGTGGTGTACGTGCACACTCATGTACATCTATGTGTGCATATAAAATAAATAAATCTTCAAAAAAGTTAGAAAGATGGAACAACATATAAAACCATACACATTGTCAAATAATGGTTGAGATTTCATGTTTCAAAGTGGCATGGCTCCCATTTCAAAGCCCGAGTCTGCAACACTGAGTAGGTGATCTTGGGACAGCTCTTCAGCTTTTTTGCACATCTCTCCTCTGTAAAATAGGGATACTAGTTCCTAAGGCATAAGATTATCCTGAAGAGTAACTATTGTGATTTATGCATAACAAATTATTCTAACTGGATGGAAATGATACAGTGGAATAAAGCTGATTAAAGAGTGTATGTGGATGCATTGATCATCATACAAGTCATATATTTCTCTATAAATTTGCTGAGCCATTTCAAGTTATTTAGATAATCATTTATAAACTAATATTAAAATTGTTTCAATATTATTTCCTATATCTTTTTGCTCTCTGAATTAAGAAAAGTTTGCTTCTGCGCAGCCCAACCTAAATCAATATTCATCAACTTAAATGAACTTCTCTCCCCCTTCTCTATTCCTGTTTTGTTCCTCCCTCTCCCTCCCTCTCCCTTCCTTCCTTCCCCCTTCCCTCCCTCCTTCTCCCTTCCTTTCCTCCCTCCATCTTCCTATTTCTCTCCCCCATCCACACACATGCACTCATGCAGGCATGCATGTACTCACATACACAATCACTCAGGAACACATGCACAGTGCTCTTTTTCTAGAGCCATTTACAGTTCAGAGCTGAGCTGCAATACTCCATTGTACCAGCAGTAATACAATGTCAGTGTTTGACATTGCCCTTTATGGGAAGGTACTTCCCAAGGAAAGCACTGAGAGAATGCCTGGAATAACCCATTCACAACAAATAAAAGCTGACTTACTGTTTATGTGGAGATATGCCAGCATAGCTCTTGCCACATTCTACTAGAGAAGAGCAACGTTACAAATGCTTACTTTTATTGTTATATAGGACTCAAAGGACAGTATTCTTCTCCAAGTAGCTCAAAGTGTGGTGCGTCCCTTCTGGGTTGTTGTGATAATCAGCTGTCTACCAGTTACAATCTGGGGTTTTTTAACAGTCAGAAGACTCACTTGTAGCGAATAATTATCTTCCATTTAGCACACTATATAAGACAAACACCATCTCCTAAATATTCAGCATGTCAACTATAGCACAGATTTACTTCCCCTGTGTCAAAGGAAAATGCTTAGAAACAACACAAAGGGCCTCGGTGAAATAGAGATATTAGAAGTCCATGAAAAGAGCAGACACATTTAAAAATTCCATTGAGTAATGTAACAGGAGCAGAACTGATTTGACCCAGTTCAACAAACTGCAGTCAGTGTTTTATCTTATCCAAAAGGAAGCAGAAATTTTGAGTCAGGTGTAGAATAGAAGAAAGGACATATGACAGGTAGGATTTTAGTTGGGGGGGGTGGTAGAGGAGGAAGGGAGGAGAAGGGAACTGGGATCTTCATGTAATTCAATCTTGTTTGTAATTCAAATATATAAAATATAAAAAATAAAAATATATAAAAAATAAAAAAAGAACTGAGGTGTCAGATATGCAGAGTCACTTTCTGTAAGGTGGAGATGGTCATTCTTACCTCATGAGGTTATTCTCAGAATCAAATTCTATTATGCAACGTCTAGAACAGTAGCTAGACAACACAACATCATAGAGCGCAATGTTATTAACACTGAAGCCACCTCTACTCACTCAGCCTCCCACAGAAGCAGCTGAAGTTCTCAGCCTGGGGACTCTCTCTACCTAGATACCTAGGGTCTGGTAGAGCAAACACTTCCAGGAACAGCTCATGGTCACTCATACACACAGTTTAGTGAGTAAATAACAATTTCCCTGCTTCTTGGATGAGACAACTCTGGGATTTATTTCATCCACAATGTATCCCAAAGGTCTCCTATGGTTTTAACCCCACTCATCCACAGTGGTAATCTGCTCTTAAAGGCATCCTGTATTGGCTTCCATCATTTTACTGTCTCACTTTCCTAATTTATAACGAAAGCATCCTGGGATTACCTCCAAAATAAACCATGGGCACTCCAATTCTTGTTCCAGGATTGAATACAGTGTAAACACGCTATATCACAATGTGAATAGGGTTCTTAATCGGTTTTACAATAAAGTTCAGTTCACTAAAAGGGGACCTTCTGTTCTGCCTCCATCTGCCGTCTCCCTCCCACACACATAGCCATTCCCTCAGGGAATACTCTTATCATTTTCCATTTTCCATTGCCTGTACTCTCATCTCTAACTGCAGTTCTAGTAACCCTGGTACCTCAGTTTTTTTTGTTGTCTGTTTGTTTTGTCTCTGAAGCTTTTAGTGGTGTTGATCACCTGCATTGTTTTTAATAAAAATCATGTTTCAGAGACCAGCCTCAAATGTTGCTTCCTTCAGCCTCCTCTGCAGGGACTGCAGCTCACAGAACATATGAGAATTATCTGAAGATCACCTCTCACCTGTCACCTTGTATGTGCCTCAGTGGGCCTAGAATCTTCTTGGTCTGCAGAACTGGCCTACATGTCCCCTCCTCCCTGAGAATTCCTCCAGCCTCTGGGATTCCACAGAAGCATCAGCTTTCATTGGCTAAATTGTTCATCCAACAAATATGTTTAATTATGGACCAGTCATGAACTACACCCAGGAAAACAAGGTTGGTTAAAAGAGGCACAGCCCCTACCCACCTAAGTTTAAGTTGGGCAAAGGAACAAGACATTGCTAAATAAATCATATCATAGTTACAAACTAACATGCACTTTTGCGGTGAAGAATCCAGCCTGGGAGTTGGTGAACTTTGCACAAGAAATTGATGCTCTGGATGAGAGTGGGTTAGGAATTAACCCTGATGAAGGTGGTGTGCTGAACCTCCAAGGTCAAGGAGACCTCTGAGTTAAGATGGGGATGTAATGACTTTTTCCAGATTAAGGTCAAAGTTTGAAAACAGAGAGGCGCAGGATGGATGGGAGGAGGAGAGACTGTAACAGCATCATTCTGCCATGTTCCTGAGACCATTGCCCCACCAGTCTCACTCACTGAGACTGAGAACTTCACCGTCACCGAGTTAAGCCACAGCAGCACTTTACGTGGTGCAGATTACAAGTAGAATGTGACTGTGGATGTGCTGGGTAGTTTTATGTCAACTTGATACAAGCTCGTGTTATCTGAAAGTAGACAACCTCAATTGAGAAAATATCTCCATAAGATCTGGTTATATGGCACTTTCTAAATTAATAATAATTAATAATAATTGTGGGTGGTGCCATCCCTGGGCTGGTGGTCCTAGGTTCTAAAAGAAAGCAGGCTGAGAAAGTCTAGAGAAGCGAGCCAGTAAGCAATAGTCCTCCAAGGCTTCAGCAGCAGCTCTGCCTCCAGGTTCCTGCCCTGTTTGAGTTCCTGTCCTGACTTTCCTTAGAGATGGATTGTTACCAGGATGTGTAAGCTGAAATAAACTCTTTTCTCACAAGTTGCTTTGGTCATGGTGTTTCATCACAGCAATGGTAATCCTAACTAGGACAGTAGGTATGGGTGGGTGTTGGGACTCAGGAAGAGTAATGTCACCTGAGATCTCAAAGGTAGGGTTTACCTGAACGGAGACATAAACCTGATGAGAAATTGTATCTCCTCCTTTAAACTGCACAGGGCAAGTCCTATAGAAATCGTTTAAAACAGCACAGATGACCTTTGTTTAATAGCTAGAGTTTATTATGTGATAGACATGATTGAATTGGATCTGTATTTTTTTTGTGTGTGGTGTGTGTGTGTGTGTGTGTGTGTGTGTGTTGTTGTTGTTGTTTTGTTGTTGTTGTTTTGTTGTTGTTGTTCAGGAGGTTCTTGTTCTTCTGGAGATCCTAGCAGGAACTAGACCTGTTCTGGGACCGAATTCTTCTGGATCGTCTTTGCTCAAAAGAAAGCATAGTTCCCAAGAACTAACTGACATAAGGAAGCTTCAGGAGAAGTCCAGGAAGAGCATCCCACATGACAAGCACTGGGTCCAGAGGGAAAAGGCTGGACCTGGCTCTTCAGAGCCCTGACTGGGATGGCTCTCTAACTTCCCGCACCTCCCTGCGGTTCCATTCAGAACCAGCTGATGGTAAACAGCCCAATTTCCCGGCTATTCAGCCCACCCCTGCCTACCCGCGGGAGAGGAGGCAACCTTGTCTCCCGGCAGCATCCTCCAGGCCCTGACATTCATCTCTGTCCATTTCAAGGCGCCAGAGTCTGTGCCGTATATACCATAGTATTGAGCCTACGCTAAGGGTTGGGGTGTCCAGGCGGCAGCTCCTGGTGTGTTTTATTCAAGAGTCCGTTTTTAAGCTTGCAACAAAGAGCCTG